TGATTTGTTCTAATGGTAATAGGATATCATGTCCACATCTTGTACAGCAGTTAACCACTAGGAAGAATGTATGCAATGTATTAATTATTGAAACTGTCCTACCAATTTGATTTGAAACTGTCTCACTGCTATTTGTTTATCAATAAAATTATGAGGGAAAAATAAATTTAAAAAAAGCTATAGCCCAACAAGCTATGCATGTTGGCCTTCTCTTGTGATTCAGCACTTTGGGAAGCTGAGGCATCATGATCAATGATCAAAAGTTCAAGCCCAGTCTGGGCAACTTAGCAACTTAAACTCAGCAAGACCCTCTCAGGAAAAAAAAAGACTACTTCATGCCCAGTGTGAAGACCCTGGGTTCAATGCCTAGGACCAGAAAAAAAAAATGTAGCCTGAACTTCCCAGCACCCTGAGTTCCTATTTTTTCTCTATAGACTTTAATCAATATGTGGTATTAGGTATTTTGTTTCTTGCCTCTCCCCAATAGAACATGAAATCCATAAAGACAAGAAGGCTTTTTACCTATTAAGAAAAAACAAACTATCAACTCAGTTTCCCTTACTATTCTCTCACAACACACTTCTGGCATCAAGTGTGTGTGTGGGGGGGGGGGGTCCTTCACCCCCAGGCAAGCTGTGAGTCTTCTATTAGAATTCTGACACTATCTACTTAGAGACAACTTCAGATCCCACAGCTGAGGGCTCAGTCTCCAAGCCTGCTCCCCCTTAGATGCCAATCATAAGCCCCAGATTATTTTACCTGTATATCTCCCCAACTGATTCTCAAACTGGGTTCCCACAACCTCCTCCTCAGGTTTGAGTAGGTCACTTGAATGACTTAAGGAGACAGATTTCCTGGTTTATTATGAAAGATATTACAAAGGCTAGAGATCAAAAGACACATAGGGTGAGTTCTGTGGGAAGGGGCATGGAGCTTCCGAGGCCCCTCTAGGTACCATCCTCCAGCATGTTCCATGTGCTCAGCTCTCCACAATCTCCCCAGACCTTGTCCTCTTGGGGTTTCTGGAGGCTTCATTACATAGACATAATTGATTTAATCACTGGGTGAGGGTTAAACTGAACTTGCAGCCCAATGCCTATCTCTTGGGATGGGAGGGTGAGACTGAACGTTCTGACATTCTAAACTTGCCTTGGTCTTTCCTCTCCCATCCTGAAGCTACTAGGTGCAGCAGCTACTGGTCAACTATTTAGCACAAAATATCCCTTTGAAGAGCCAAGTGATAAACAGGGCAGAAGGCCAAAGATGTATTTTCAATATCACATCTATTTCATTTGGTTTTTTTTTTTATGCCTGTCATCTAGAACAGTGTCCAGCTCATTATTTGCTGAAAGAATACATTCTTTATCTGGGAACTTACAAATAGCCTGTAGAAGACCTTGAAGCCCTCATAGTATACAAACCAGCCTCTTTCCGGCAGGGAAAGGGCCAGTCATCTTTATCAGATTTTCTAAAAGGGATTTTCTTCACCAAAGATATGTTAAGAATAACTAAAGAACACTTTTTAATCAAGATTTGGTGTTGTGAAATATAAGCCCCAACTGTACTCTAGGCTGACTTAGGTAGACCAACCAATACACGCCTTCCATGCCTGTTGAAGCAACAACACGGGACACGTCAGCAAGTAGTATGGCTCAGCACCTCGTTCTCTAAATATTTACTGCTCTGGTTTTTTATACTAAACATTATGACCTCAAATACCATCTGCTCTGTGTCTAAGGTAACTTTTCAACACAAATAATTTTGTTTCTCAAGATGGTCTAAAATTACACCCAAGTCACTGGGGATACAGCTTAGCGGCACAAGTGCCTGCCTAGCAAGCACAAGGTCCTGAGTACGATTTCTACTACCAAAAAGAAAAAAAAAATTACACTCAAGACACCACAGATGTAGCAATCATGACAACGTGCCTGTTCCATCTCTGACTGCTGGGAGACAACTGACTACCTGTCCAATTGTAGAGCTCTGAAATCCATCATCACATAGATGTCTCCTGCTGGCTGCAAGTTAGGGCAGCAGGGAACACACATAGCAGGCCCATTCTTGGGAGATGCCAGGGCCTCCAGAAAGATAATTTGAGCTCAAGACCTCTCCTATGTCCTTTCTGAGGTCAGAACTGTCCTTCAATCAATAAGATGGCTTATTATATAGCATTTCTTCCTGCTTTCCTTCCCTTTGAATCACACCTGTATCATGGTCTGAGGCCTCTTGCTGGCTCCCTTGCCACCGTCACAGCATTTCCCCTAATGCATTATGGGACAATTTAATCTTATCTGTCTGCTTCCTGAAAGCCCTGCATTACCAAAGCAGGTGATTCAGGATGGAGGTCCGTAGAATACAAACCCTGAAATTATGAGCTACTTGGTGAGGTAGACTTTCTGGATTTTCTGATAGTGCCCACCCCCACAGATATAACATCCCAACTGCAAAATAACCTAAGCCAATTTGGACACATCCCCTCATACAGTACTTAAGCTCAGTGATAGTACCAAAGAAATGTGAGGTGGCCTGAGGATTAGCTGTGCCCCACAACATTACTACTAGTTTTAATGAACCAAATTCTGCCGTATATGCATTCAGTCAGCAAAACTCAGGCTAATAAGCAGCAATGAAACTATTTATACTACTCTAGGTCTTAGTCTACTCAGGCTGCCATAACAAAATACTTCAGACTGAGTGGCTTAAACAAAGCAAATTATTTTCCTACAATTTTAGAGGCTGAAACTCAGGAAGAGGGTTTCTAGTGAGGGTACTCTTCCTGGCTTGTACAACAGTCTTCCTTATTCTTGGAGGATACATTCCAAGACCCTCAACCGATGCCTGAAATTGTAAATAGTACTGAAATACACACACCACACAAACACGTTTTGCCATATGAGCCCTGCATAATGGTCACACAGTACCACAAGTAATTTGTTCTTCCCTTCATGTTATTCATGTTTTATGTTTTGTCCTTCCTTTGTCTCACTATTCTTTTGCTTTAGGGGCCAAAATTATTAGGAAAAACAGTTACTTGAACCCAAGCATTATGATACCAAGACAGTTAACCTGACAATGCAGTGACTAACCTACAGACACACTAAACAAAGTGACCATTTGCATCACAAGGATGACGCGACTACCTTGAATGGGTTGCAATGTAAAGCTCATGAATTTTTTTAATTCTGGAATTTTCCATTTCGCCAGGCATGGTGGCATACATCTATAATCCCAGCACTTGGAGGCTGCAGGAGAAAGACTTCTTCAAGTTTGAGGTCAGCTAGGGATAAATAGTTAGTTTAAGGCCAGCCTGAATTACATAGTAAGACCCTGTCTCGGAAAAACAAAACCAAAACAAACATAATAAAATAAAACAGAATTTTCCATTTCTTATTTTTGCTATCTTGCTGCCTCAGCCTCTTGAGTAGCTGGAATTATAGTTGTGCACCACAGGCAACCAGCTCTTTGTGTTTTGTTTTTGTTTTTGAATTTCGGGGGATTGAATCCAGGGCCTCCTACACATTGGGCAAACCCTCTATCTACCATTGATTACTTCACCCACACAATTTCCCTATTCTCAACCACTCTATTCTCCATTCTCATTTGTCTCTCATATTGTTAGTTGATTGCTTCCTGATGCACCTCTGCCCAGCCTTAGTGTAAGGTCTGCGACACTTAAAAATCTTTCTCAACACCAAAAATAATATAAACAAAGCTGGAACTCGATACTTCAATATATAAGGCTTTGAAGAGCCCCCAAAGTAGACCAATTGGTGTTTTCTTTATGAAGTACACAGAGGGGCGGTGGGGAGAGACAGGGTTCCTGCATTGTTTTCTTCTAGTAGTATCAACAACTTGCCCCTAGGGCTGGGAGATAGCTCAGCAGTCTAACCACCTGCCTGGCAAAGGTAAGGACGGGGTTTGACCCCCAGAACTGCATGCCATGCAGGCCCCTCCCTGAGTGGGCTGTCAGTCACAAAACTGGGCGTGGTGGCGCACACCTGTACTTCCAGCTAATTGTGGAGGCTGAGGCCAAAGGATAACAAGATTGAGGGCAGCAATCCCAGCTACTCGGGAGGAGCTAGGCCGTCACTTGATATAACAGAAAGGGCTGGAGGCGGATGCAGCACCGTGATAGAGCACCCCTAACAACCTCCAATATCACCGAACAACCAAACAAAAACAAGACAACAGATCTAAAATAAAGTATTCAAAACTTCCCACTCCTATTGCTTCCAGGCCCCTTTTGTGTTTTGTGATCACTACCTGAGGTTTTCCTTTCAGGTCTGATTCCTAAAAGGCTCGGGCGAGTACAGCGCACTGAGCTTCAGATTTCCAGCAAACGGGACAGTCTAGCCTTTGGAAGAGGGCATGGAAATAGGGGCCGGAGTCATCAAGATAAGATGCATGGTCAAGCTGGTAACGAACTGGTTCAAACTTCTCTTAAGATACCACAACTTTAAACTTCCAGGTTCAGAATCTGAAAGGTGTGCCCCAAGCAAATATTTAAAAGTACACAAACACCTGCCTGAGGAAAACTGCAGGAAGACCATTTCTGACTGACAAATCTGACGCGGAGAGCAAAATACCTTCCAGCGACCTGGGAAGGAAGCCAGTGTCCGCAGGAACGTCCCCGGCCACCCCTCCCCTCCCCGGAGTCAGCGGGTGCCGGGAGGTGGGCGCCAGCGAGCGTGGGCCTCCCGCGCGTCCTAGAGCGGCCGCGCCCGCCGCAGCGCGCGGCGCACTTCCGCCTGCGCGCGCC